TATTTTCCAGCATTTTCTAGCTTATTTCAAATATTTTCTAGCTTATCCCAAATGTTTTCTAGCTCTGCTCAAAGAGTTTCTATCTTATCCCAAATATTTTCTAGCTCACCGCAAATTATTTCTAACTCATTTCATATAATTCTTTGCTCATCTCCACTATTTTCTAGCTCGGCCCCAGTATTTTTTGGCTCAACCCTAATATTTTCTAGCTTAACTATATTTTAGCCCAACCCAAATATTTTAAAAGTCATATCAAATTTTTTCTAGCTTATCAAAAATATTTTCTAGCTTATCCCAAATATTTTCTAGCTCATTCCAAATAATTTCAAGCTCATATCCAGCAAGTTCTAGGTTATGAAAAATATTTTCTAGCTCTTCCGAAATATTTTCTAGCTTATTCCAAATGTTTTCTAGCTCATCCCAAATAATTTCAAGCTCATATCCAGCAAGTTCTAGGTTATGAAAAATATTTTATAGCTCTTCCCAAATATTTTCTAGCATATCCCAAATATTTTATAGGTCATTCCAAATAATTCTTAGCTCATCCCCACTATTTTCTGGCTCGTCCCCAGTATTTTCTAGATCAATCCTAATGTTTTCTAGCTTATCTAAAATATTTTGTAGTTCATTCCAATACATTTGTTAGCTTGTCCCAAATATTTTTGAGTCATCCCAAATATTTTCTTTGTCATCCCAAATAATTTCTAGCTCATATACAGTATATTCCAGCTTTTGGAAATTATTGTCTAGCTTATTTCAAATATTTTCTAGCTTATCCCAAATATTTTCAAGCTCATCCCAATATTTTTAGCTCGTATCCACATTTTCTAGCTTATTAAAAATATTTTCTAGCTCATCTCAAATACTTTCTATCTTATCCCAAACATTTTCTAGCTCACTCCAAATCATTTCTAGCTCATCCCATATAATTCTTAGCTCTTCCTCACTCTTTTCTAGGTCTTCCCCAGTATTTTCTGGCTCAACCCTAATATTTTCTAGCTTAGTTGAAATATTTTTTCACTCAACCCAAATATTTTCTAAATCATATCAAGTTTTTTCTAGCTTTTCAAAAATATTTTCTAGCTCATCCCAAATATTTTCTAGCTCATCCCAATTAAGTTTTAGCTCATATCCCGTATTTTCTAGTTTATCACAAATATCTCATCCCAAATATTTTTTAGCTCATCTCAAATCATTTCTAGCTCATCCCATATAATTCTTAGCTCATCCCCACTATTTTATAACTCGTCCCCATTATTTTAGCTCAACAATAATATTTTCTAGCTTATCTAAAATATTCTGTAGCTCATATCCATTTTTTTCTAGCTTATCAAAAATATTTTTTAGCTTATTTCAAATATTTTCTAGCTTATTCCAAATATTCTCTAGCTTATCCCATATATTTTGTAGCTCAATCCCAGTATTTTCTAGCGTATCCTAAATATTTTCTAGCTCATTTCAAGTATTTTCCAGCTTATCAAAATAGTTTCTAGTCCATCCGAAATATTTTTTGCGCATGTCCAGTTTTTTTTCTAGGTTATGAAAAATATTTTCTAGCTTATCCCAAATATTTAGTAGCTCATCACAAATAATTTCTAGCTCATCCCGTATAATTCTTAGCTCATCCCCACTATTTTCTAGCTCGTCCCCAGAATGTCCTAGCTCCACTCAAACATTTTCTAGCCCATGGCAAGTTTATTTAACTTATCAAAAATATTTTCTAGCTCATCCCAAATATTTTCTAGCTTATCCAAAATATTTCTGCGCTCATTAAAATATTTTTTAGATCATATCCAGTATTTTTTTTAGTTTATCAAAAATGTTTTCTAGGTCGTCCCCAGTATTTTTTGGCTAAACCCTAATATTTTCTAGCTTTTCAAAAATATTGTCTAGCTCATCCCAAATATTTTCTAGCTAATCCCAAATATTTTCTAGCTCATCCCAAATATTTTCTAGCTAATCCCAAATATTTTCTAGCTCATCCCAAATAATTCATAGCTCATCTCCACTATTTCCAGCTAGTCCCCAGTATTTTCTGCATCAACCCTATAATTTTCTAGCTTATCTAAAATATTTTCAGGTTCATTCCAAATATTTTTTAGTTTATCCCAAATATTTTCTGCGTCATTCCAAATAATTTCTAGCTCATATCCAGTATTTTCCAGCTTTTGAAAAATATTTCCAAGCTGATTTCAAACATTTTCTAGCTAATCCCAAATATTTTCTAGCTCATCCCAAAAATATTTAATCTCATATCCAGTATTTTCTAGCTTATCAAAAATATTTTCTAGCTTATTTCAAATATTTTCTAATTGAACTCAAATATTTTCTAGCCTATCCCAAATTATAATATTGTTTAGGTCATACCAAATCATTTTATAGCTCATTCCATATAATTCTTAGCTCATCCCCACTATTTTCTAGCTCGTCCCCAGTATTTCCTAGCTCGACCCAAACATTTTCTAGCTCATATCCAGTTTGTTTAGCTTATTAAAAATATTTTCTAGCTCATTGAAAATATTTTTAGATCATCCCAAATATTTTGTAGCTTATCCCCAGTATTTTCTAGATTATCCTTAATGTTTAGTAGTTTATTTTGCTCTGTTCAAATATTTTCTAGCTCATCACCAATATTTTCTAGCTCATGTCCAGTATTCTCTAGATAATCAAAAATATTTTCTAGCTCATCCCAAATATAGTGTGGCTTTCCCCAAATATTTTTAAGCTCATCCCAAGTTATTTCTAGCTCATCCCAAATAATTTCTTGCTCATCCCTACTATTTTACAGCTCATACCCAATATTTTCTAGCTTATCCCAAATATTTGCCAGATGATCCCAAATATTTTGTACCTCATCCCAAATATTTTTTAGCTCATCCCCACTATTTTTTTTAGCTCATTCCCATTTTTCTCTAGCTTATCCCAAATAATTTCTTGCTGAGACCAAATAATTTTTAGCTAATCCCCACTATTTTCGGTCTCGTCCCCAGTATTTTCTAGATCAACCCTAATATTTTCTATCTTATCTAAATTAGTTTGTAGTTCATTCCAAATATTTTTTAGCTTATTTCAAATATTTTCTTGGTCATCCCAAATAATTTCTAGCTCATATCCAGTATTTCCAGCTTTTCAAAAATATTTTCTAGCTTATTTCAAATATTTTCTAGCTTATCCCAAATATTTTGTAGATCATATCCAGTATTTTGTAGCTTATAAAAACATTTTCTAGCTTGTTTCTAATATTTTGTAGCTTATCCCAGATATTTTGTAGCTCAAATCCAGTACCTTCTAGCTTATCAAAAATATTTTTCTAGCTCATCTTTAATATTTTCTAGCTTATCCCAAATAATTTTTAGCTCTTCCCCACTATTTTCTAGCTAGTCCCCAATATTTTCTAGATAAACTTTAATATTTTCTAGCTTATCTAAAATATTTTCAGGTTCATTCCAAATATTTTTTAGCTTATCCCAAATATTTTCTGGGTCATCCCATTTGCAATTTATAAAGGTGGAGTCACCTGGTTTTAGTTTTAGTTGTAAAATTGGCGAGAAAATGGCCACCAAAGTTTGGTAACTTCAAATGCTTGAGAGTCCTTGAAAATTGAAAAATTACATATGCTGTGATTTTAATCAACGTTTTTCAGTAAAAATCATATGGAAATGTATTTATATATATATATGGACATGATAAAAGGCGTTGAGCCAAAAAACAAAAATTCGATAAAATTGCCAAACTGGTGGAAAAAGCCTTTTTACTTCGATTTCATTATTATGATTATTTTGTCGAGCACCTGATTTCACCACGATGCCTCATATATATATATATATATATATATATATATATATATATATATATATATATATATATATGTCTGTTGACACAGGATGAGCAGCACAGAGAGTTTAGCAGCTACAACTGAACAAGAAACTTCTAGCTTCAGTAAAAGTTTATCGGTGCTTGCAACACAAATAGGTAGTATATGTGCCAAAAATTAGAGGTGTTACTAGAGAAAAACATAATTAAAAAAAGAAAAAAGAGGGGTGAAGACAATAGAAGTTTGATGGGAAAGAAGGAGCAAACCAAAACTGAGCACCCATCAACCACCCATTTCACAGGAAAACCGGACAGCCCCGAAAACTTCAGTTTAATATTAACAACTAACAAGTCGTCTCTTTAGAACTATTTTATGCAAAGTGTACGTAAGTAGAGAGGCACTTTTGAACAGCTGTTGCCGGACCGACAAAAACAACAAAAAAGACGCACTTTGGACGAAATAGTTCAGAGGCGACCAAGTGTTAGCTACACCTAAAGTTTATCCAGCACTACTGCGATTTTGTGACGGACAGAAAATCAACACTCAACAAACAAAATGGAGTCCATTATATTGTAAAGTGTGCTTTATTCTGATATAATGAGAAAATAAAATCATAATATGACATGCAAATAATAATGGACGGACTTCTCCCTCTTCTCTCCCCTTCTTCATTTCTCTAACTCTTTCACACACAGTACCAATTAACACACTCATAGACACACTCTCACAAGTACAGACATAAGATTGCGTATTCCAACAACTCACAGCCCACTCCCTTCCTCCACTGGTACTCTGCCACTCTCATGAAATATTCAGGGATGCCAAATGATTTTTGAAAAAAAAACAAAAACATGAAAATGAGTGGAGCTTCACATCTCACCTTAAACAAACCTTGTAAAGTTTTTAAATGAGCAAACAAAAAACATCTCTCTTACCTCTCCCCTTTCTTTTGCAAGTGTATGGAGCCTTTGTTGCTATGGTTGAAAAAAACAAAAAACGTCAAAAGCCGGAAAAACCAGAGATTTGGCATCCCTGAATATTACATACAGATCAAAATCATTTAGAAACAAACCATGCCCACATAACGACCCACACAACGAGCATGTAATTCTATGCAGGCAGGCGCGCTGTGAGATACCAAACTCACAGCATCTGCCTCGACTAGTTACAAATATCTACAGTTTCAAATTCTAAAACTACTATTTGCAACATGTGTACAGTTCTGACAAAAATACAACAGAGACTGAAACTCTCATATCACTTAATCCAGACAAATTACTCCTATCCCTAGACCAGGCAAGATTTTTCAAAACCCTACAAGATAATGGATTTTCCTATGCAGACTGTGTGACAAAGAAAGGAGATAAAATTAAACATTTTCATTAAAATTAAGAATTTCCCAGATTTATCATCATACAACTTCTACAAAGACAGTACATGCATTTCGTGTCTGTTCAAAGAAAAGACAACATGAAGTTCAGCGCTCAGTTTTTATAACGCTACATTTTGCCGCATAAGTTACTTGGGTATATGATATAGTGATAATTAAAATATAATGGTTATTCGCAGGTATATAAAAAGTAATTTTTATACCACAATATAAAATACTGACAAAATTTTAAAGCGTAAAAATTTAAGTCATGCAATGGATTGGATTTAGCCCCATAGGCAAAAACATCCCTCCGCAAAATATACAAGCTCAAAAAGTTCCAGAAAAAGAAGGTCAACGGTCCTCAAGATTCCCCAAGACATGAAAGTTCAGATCACATCAGCCAAGTACAAATATGTGTGGGCACCAGGAGAAACGTCTCAATTGTCGACAAAGCTATTTTGTAACAACGGTGAGAATAGGCAAAAAAGTCATACCTGGTCAAAAATTTAGTTCCATCAGAAAACACTCGCTTAAGTATTTCTTTATAAGATATTGAAAATATTTTCTAATATTTTAAGTCTAAATATTATTGTATTAATTATTTTTGCAAAATGTTATACCTCACCGAAGGTTAAAATTGTGCGAGAAATTGGGTCAACATATGACTGTTAAAATTAAAGCTATTTTTTTGCAAACTTTGTTTTACAAACCCTGTGTAACAAAATGTGACCAAACTTTAAATCTAATCAAAATATTTGGAAAAAATTAATTTTTTAATCAGCGTGTTCAGCACTGAATTTTCTACAAGAAAATGCTCTTATTTTAATATTCAAAATTTTTAATAATTTGGACCTTTCTCCAGGCACACGTACAAATATCCCACAGCTATAACAAATCAACAAACACGCATCAGTAAAGGAAGGAAAGAATGAAATAAAATTTCAGATCCATTTTAAGAGAGATTGAATTTATTTCATCACCCGATTCCTTCACTAACGCACGAGGATCCCAAGTCATCACAGGCAAACGGTCAAACAGAACTGGTCCCAGAATAACACTGAAATAACCTTCACAAGCAAACACATCATCCGAGTGACCTTTGCGTTACCAAATCGACCACATTTGTAACAAATCACCATCACAGCCTCAAAACTCCTGCATCTGGTCTGCACATTACTCTCTTTCTCTTCTCTTGAAGTCACAGGAAGCAGAAACGAAAGGTGAGAAATTTTTCAAGAGAAGAGGAAACAGCAAAAGTACAGAAAATCCCCCCCCCCCCCCTCTCCTCTCCCCCCCCATCTCAAAACGCTTTGATCGTCCTTCCTCTTACTTATTCACATTTTCCTCACCCCAACTCTGAAACGTACGCGACAGAGCAGAGCATAACCAGCCTGACTGGTCACCACTATTCTGTCCTTACACGTGAGTGGGAGGGCAGGAACATTATCTACTTCCTGACTTTGCAATTGGAGCTGCTCTATATTTCTGCCCGAGACTCCTCTAAAATATACATACCTTTATTTATTATATGTACAGTTAAACTAAAACGTACAGGAACGCCGGATTTTCTTTGATTACGCCAGGTATTCCGTTAGGAGAGGTTGCTCTAATCGGAGAAAAAAAATTGAGGTATTTCATTTTCTTTCAGTTTTCCACTGTTTTCGGATCAGCCGCGTTCGGTTTCAGCGGACTCCACTGTATACAATATAATATGATTTATACTATCTACCCTGCCTAGAACCAGTCTCAAGACTTTGCGATGCCGTACACCTTGGAGAACTTGGGCTCCAGCCCACCCGACTGTTTCTTGTTTTGTCCTCGGGACTTTAGTGGTGACCTTGGCTTGGACTGGGGGGAAGAGAGACGAACAAACAGAACATTAAGTCACAGGATCAATCAAATACTGGTCAAACGGAGAGAACATTTAAGTCACAGGATCAATGAAATACTGGTCAAACGGAGAGATTTTTAAGTCACAGGATCAATCAAATACTAGTCAAACGGAGAGAACATTAAGTCACAAGATCAATCAAATACTGGTCAAACGGAGAGAATATTAAGTCACAGGATCAAATACTGGTCAAACGGAGAGAACATTAAGTCACAGGATCAAATACTGGTCACATTGTTTGAGTTTGTTGAGTACAAAGAGAAGTACATCAACTTAATACAAGCCATGTTAGGCAGAACTAGCAAGACGATAATATTAATGATAATAATAATAATAATGACAATTTAAAAATAATAATAATGATAATAATAAGGATGATGATGATGATAATAATAATGATAACGACAATAATAATAATAACGACCATAACAAAAATAAATAACAATAATAATGATAAAAATATTAATAATGATGATGATGGCAACAACAACAATAATAATAATAATAATAATAATAGTAATAATAATAAAATAATAATAGAGTGCACAGAAAGAGCAAAATAATAATGATAATAATCTGCACTGACCAGATGTAGAGAGCCAGGTTTCACCACGTTGGGCTCGTCCTGCAGCTCAAAGTCCTTCTGTACCCGATGGCCCAGCGAGGACACGCTCTTGGTGGGCCGGAAGTCGCGGGAGCGGGCTTTGTGGGTGTCCAGCTTCCGCTCCGAGAGGCTCAGGACCACCTGCTTCATCACCGACATCTCCTGTAGGGGCGGATAGAGGAAGTTTAGTTTAAGACAGAGTTTGACGGCACTTGCAACACAATACGGTTATAAGAGTGCAGAAGAATAGATGGGTTTTTTTGGGGGGGGGGGTGGTTTGGTGGGGTGGGGGGGGGTTAGTAAGAGTTTTAAGGCACTTGCAACACAATAAGGCCATACAAGTGCCGAAGAATAGAGGTGTTACAAGAGAGAGATAAACATAAAAAAGAAGGAGGGGAGATTAAGACCACAGGCGGCATTTGACAGGATAGAAGGAGCAAACCACACAAGAGCACCCATCAAGCACCAACAGGCAGAGGAAGAAATACAACAAACATAGAGTTAAAAGAGAGAATGGGGGAGGCTAAAAGACATCTATAAGTCATGCTGAAAAAAAATGGAGATCTCGGCTGAAAATCATCTACTCTGGGGCCAAATTTGTATATTTTCAACCGATGCTTCTTTTATTCAAGTTTAACATATCTTTTATCTCCTCATGCTAAAAAATTTGCATAAAACCAACCTATAAATTTCACGTATCTGCGTCTATAGAGCTAAAATCTGAGAAGTAACTCATATTGCCAGCATGTCTTACACTTTAATTATTTAAAGACCAATTTTGATTTAACCCAATATAAGTACTGGAAGAGGCAATACAACACTCTTCACCATTATCAATTGTGATCAGCTTTTTCAGTTGTTATAATCATGCCATCATCTCAAAATTTCACATTAATTAAAAAACACAGCAAACAAAAACAAAAATTAAGGCATAACTAATTGCCCCAACTTGCTGCACAACCTCTCACCAAAGCACACTGTGCTCTGCAATGTGACAAAAAACGTGATGTTTACCGGAAAGTCACTGAGAAATTTTTAAAAAATTTAATGCACCCTCAGTAGTCTCCCCCTCACCAGAGATACAAATCAGTAGAACCTATCAGCAACGCCTTCCACACATCCATCTTGTCAAGTGTGCCATAAAGTAAGATACGAAAAGCTCTTTTATTTTTATTTCTTAAATGTAGAGGATATTAAATGTATATTGACAAAATTTAGACTATTGAGGAGGCTGGCTTCGACACTGCACATCAGGGCCACCCTGAACCCAGAGCAATCCAACATCCCTGCATCAACACCAAAATAATCTATAAAAAAATTTCCCATTAAGGCATCAAACTCAAGTCTTCTGCATGAGACAGTGAAGCCCCTAACCACTGCACTACAAATGCCAGAAATTGCACTTAAGAAAAGACAAATAGGAAAGAAGAAAAAGAAAAACAACACCAGACCAGGGTTTCTTTGGGTCACAAAAGGACCAACAACTGACCGACACAGTGCAACAACTGACTGACACAGTGCAACAACTGACCGACACAGTGCAACAACTGACCGACACAGTGCAACAACTGACC